AGCTAGCACAAGACCAATCCTGTGAGCCAGTATCCGGCCAGCTGTGGCGTTCGTGATTGGGAAGGTCGGGAGACTGGTCGAGTGTCTAAAAAGCAGAAGCAGGAGGTAAGGAGCACAATACTATGAGCCAAATTCGACCACCAACCACCACAAGCAGGCACCCAACGCTTTTGCATCAAGCAAAAGAGAAAAAAAAGGCAAGTGGAAAACAACTCACCGCCACACCAATGCGAGGAGCATCAAGTACAATCCCGCCATCGACACATAATGCGACAGCTTCTCGTCAAGAAAGTCGGCCACGATAAACACATTGCTGGTTTCGGGCACTTCCGTCTTGAGCAAGCCCTTGATCCTATTGGCAAATGTATGTGCGCCGTGGCCGGTAGCGTAGATGGCGGCTGGAATGACAAAGCAGAGCAATTCGAGCATGGTGACTGAATAGCCGGCAGCAAGCGCGCGCGGCTCGGGCACGAGAACAGAGCTGTCCGAGCTCAGCAAGCCACCTCCGCCGGCTGCCGGGTCTGCTTGAGCGGACGGCGGGAGGTCGAGATTGGCTGGCATTGGACGTAGTTCCTCCTGATTCGCGCCGCCGTCGCGCCACGGCTTGTCGCTATTCTGCCGGCTCCTGCGGCCGCGCAGCATATCAGCCATGGCACCAAGCGTCTGGCGCACTCCAGTGACTTGTGCGTGCATCAGCGTGAAGAGCAGTGCGCAGACAATCAGCGGCACGGCCAACTCGAGCGCGTCGCTCAACCGCATCCCGCGCCAGATCTGCACCTTCAAGACGGATGGGAACCCGTGCAGAATGATGATGGCGACCATTGTAACGATCAGCAATGCACGCAGACCCCTCGCCGTGCGCAGTCGTCCCGGCACAGGCAGCATTCTGGGGTCTGAAACCAATAACTTGAGCACTCCTTCTTAGCAAAGCCGGCTTCTGAGAATGGAGCGCTATTCGTCGTTTCGTCGTGCGTCGTTCGTCGGGGAAGACAAAAAATGTGACAAAATCCTACACAGCAGCAAACTCAACCAAACCACACTTTGACACCACAACGAATGACGAGTGAGGTGAGTGAGTCGACGAAATGGGGTTTCAAACATCAATGACCATCTGCTTCAAAGACAAAATTCGTCTGTCTTGAATGAATTTGAATCGTAGTCTAGTCCTTTTGTTGGTGGGTCGTCTGTCTGTCTCCTTGAGAGAGAGAGAGAGACAAGCAAACAATGGAAGCAGTTTCA